TCCACATTTTCCACTTATTTTTCTAGAACATAGTAAGCATGCTCTTGGCATCATGCCATTTCACCTGCACATACTGAAATATCGGATCTCTAATTAAAGTGCTTAAGCGTAACCTCCCTGCCATTGTCACCTCTAACAAATCTTCACTCTTGCCTCCGTCTTCAGACTTTACTCACATTACCCAGTTAGCACAAAGACAGCTGCTTGGTATTGATCTGCTGGCGTTAGGCTCCAGCACCACATTCGGTTATTATGTGTTTTACATCTTTTATCCTAAAACAGTCTCCCTCTACTCTGAGTAATACGGATTTATTGGACAAATGAGGTCACTTGTTCTGCATTTGGTACGCGGCTGATTGCTTCCTCATGTGGGGTTTGTCTGTCATTTTTCAGTGCAGGTTTACGGAGCAGATGTGCTGTCTGCTCAGCGGTTTGTACAGTCTGTTGTGTAACATTATCTATGGTTCCCTCAGTGTAGAGCACTCTTCCACTTCCTTCCTGGATGCCCTCTTTCCTTTTGCCCTTTTCTTTTCTGCCCTTTGTTGCTCTCTGAGCCTTGTTTTGGGGCAGATGCTGCCCCTTTTGGACACATTGATTATTTTGTGGAGAACCCTCCCTGTGCGTGCTGCTGTTCACTTTATCGACTCTTTTATATGATTACAAGGGCTCCTTGGGCGTGGTTTCAGTTCCAAGTTTAAAGGGTCCAGAGGGTCACAGGCTAAGGGGCTCCATCATGGTGGTCTTCAGTGTGTGCCTCTGTCCTGGCTATTTTCATTCAGCTAGTAATGAAAAGCTCGATTAGACCAGGCTTAGTCATCTTAGGGAAAGGTGCAGAGAGACTGTGCTGTGTTTTCCATTAGGGTCCATCCAGTCGGACCCAGCAGGAGGTCCCATCAGGAGAGCTTGGTCCCCCTGTAATGATGCCAGGGATGACCAGCACCTCCATTATCAGTTCTCCTCCCAGGATCCGTTGATGACCCTTACCTAGATCCAGGACCTGGGCTCACCCAGTGTGCTCTCTTTTTTTAGTTTTCCTTCTTTTTAGCATAGTTCTCCCCGTGTTGGACCTGTACATCTTCCCTCAGGCCAGTGCCTCCCAGCCCTGTAGTAGTGTCTTCCCCATTTCCTGTATTTCTGGCATAGTTGTGAATTAGATTAAAAAAAAAGCAAGCACTAGTATTTCATGCAGATAGGATCAACAATAAAAAGAAAAAAAAGAGTGGCAAAGTTAATCTCTGGTAAGAGAAACTTCAAGGCAAAAATCATCATAAGAGACAAAGTTGTTATATAATGATTTAAAGGTCAGTTGAACAAGAGGACATAAGAATGCTTGGTGTCCACGTCCCTAGTGATAGAGCTGCAAGGTACATAAATCATTTCTTCAACCGATTGGAATATAGAGAAATAGAAAACTCCACAATAATAGTAGAGGCGTCAATACACTACTTTTGATGAAAGGCAGATCGATGAGAAAGAAACTCAACAAAGATGCAGAACTAGCCAGTGGAGTTAACCAGCTAGACATACATGGACAGTCCTCTCAACAGCACAGTACACACCCTCCAGGCCGAACGTCCTCCAGACTAGACCACGTGTTAGGTCACAAAAATGAAAGCAGTTTATCGAATCAATGAAAACTGGGCTTTGGCTTCCAAAGCAAAGGTGGACATGGTGTCAGTCTAAGTGTCACATGCCCCTCCTTCTCAGAGGTGGCCTGGTCCGACCGGTTCTCGGTTGGCAGTAGCCCCGTCCTGACAGCCCCCAGCCTGCCCAGCCAGTGCCCTCTTGCTTTTCTAGGAGAACCGCCGTCGGGCCAAAGAAGAAGCCTCTGCCATGGAGGAGGAGATGGCGCTGGCCGAGGAGCAGCTGCGAGCCCGGCGACAGGAGCAGGAGAAGCGCAGCCCCCTGTGCAGTGTCAGGTGAGCCTGCCCCCGGTACACTCCTGACCTGGTAGTATGTGTCTCAAGGCTGGATGCAGGGTCTTAGAGTAGGGTCTGTGAAAGGGGAAGGAAGGTCACTGACAGGAGCCCGAATGGAGGCCGAGCTGACACTCCTGGGATGGAGACATATCTGCAAACCTGGTCACTGTCTCGGCCCGAACGGCTGGGTACAGGATGAGTCTGACAGTTACTGACGAGGAGGAGGCTGGACTCCACAGTGGAGAGGGAAAATGAGACCCGTGGGCTTGTGTGTCAGTGGAGCGGCTGCCTTGAGGATTCAGTGCAAGGCCACTCCACAGCTCACCGGGGGAAGTTGGAAGGAGTTAGAAGGCTTAGCCTACCATGTTCCTTAATGGATCAGGATGAGGTGGGCTTCCTTTCTTTTCATCTTCTCCTTCCAATCAAAAATGGGAAAGGAGAGGGGAGCGGAAGTGAGGATAAGATCCTGTAGCTCTCCAGCCTCTTCTCAACATCAGCTGGACTCAGCGGGGCTCAGGCTATTTGTCCTTCTTCGTGTCTTGGGCAGAAGGGAGGAGCCAGTGTCTCCTGACCTCTTCTCCTGTGTCTTCAGGTCTACTAAGATCTACACTCCTGGTCGGAAAGAGCAAGGGGAACCCATGACCCCTCGCCGCACCCCAGCGCGCTTTGGGCTCTGAGCTGAGCTGTCCCTGGGAGGGGATAACCACACTTTGTCCTGAGCCCACTGGCTGGATGCTCCGGGCCTCTGAACAAAGACCCCTCGTCTGTGTACACCTGCCTGTGCCCCTGGGGGAGGTTCCTGCTGAGATCAGGCTCTGCTGTGGAGGGAGGAGATCATCCTTGGTGGAGGCGCTTGGGAGGGGCTGAGGCTGCTGTCTGGCCCAGCGGAACAGCTGAGATGCCACCAGAGCGAAGCGGCCAGATCCAGTGTCGCCACGTAAGCGTCTAAGGGACTTGTGTGACCATGGCTTTTTCAAATTCTTATGTAAAGCAGCAAAATAGAGGGGACTGTAATTGCTTATAATTCAGGATTTGGAGATAAATTTATTGTTTGTAAAATGTTTTTGTACTTGTGACTGTTTTCCCCCCTTCACTGCTCTAATCATAGATGAAGAGGAAAGGTCGAGCACCTGACCTACTTCCCGAGATCCTTGCTTTCAGTTCACTCGTGCGCATGCTTTCACTGGGGCTGATGAGAACAGGGTGTCTGTGTAGAAGTGTCAGCAGTTGAGCGGTCAGAGCTTCGGAGAGAGGGCTCATAGGGGCCCAGGGCATGCTGGACAGATCCTTTACCAGCAGGAAGTGGCCTCCTCAGATGGGGCAGCATAGGAAGGCGTAAAGGGCAAGCTCACATGTGCCAAACAGTCGTGTGGCGAACTTAACCCCTTTTTAAGGAGGACTGAGGAAGGAGGGCTGGGGCTGCCCGTCCCGTCGATGTTACTCTGGGCTCCTTGTCCTCTGGGCCTGTAGAAGATCTGCCACGTAGAGTTCTCTGGACTCAGGTCCCACTGGGAACTGGGAGGGTGAATCATTTGGCTTCTATTCGAAACCATTTCTTTTTCATATATGCAATTCAGACTAGTGCTTAGAACCTTCTTTGGTAATTCCTTAAAGAATTCTAGGCCCTGCTGTTCCTTCTGTCTCTTGTAAGCTGGAGAGCTGGGTGACATGATATTCCCTAAGTTCACTGCCCGTTTGTTGTCCTGTAACTCACTACCTGCTTTTCTCTAGTGTCATCACTCCACAGGACAACTCTGTAAAATATTTGCAGGAAAACTTTGTGAAAATGCAGCGTTCCAGGTGTTCAGATACTGCTCTTGTACCAGCAGAGATGAAACCTTTTTAGTAGTTTCAGAAAGAAAAGGCCTCCTGAGAAGTTTCTGCAAATAAACTTGTTTGACTACATCGTCTAATAATTAGAACTGGAAAGCATTTTCATTAGAGCCCTGTTCTTCAGTCTGTTTCTCCAGAAAGTTTTATCTTATTGTAAACTAAAGGTCACAAGAACAGAAGCACACAACTAACATGCCAACAATCAGAAAGTCTAGCCGTATTCTAAATCAAAAAAGAGACAGTCACCAGCACACAACCACACAACTAACATCAGAGCAAAGCTGCTAGAGACAGCAGCCATGCCATGCGCCTTCACATTGTACTCGGGAAGAATTTGTCCTTCCTGGGTTCTGGAATGGGCGTCCCATGCTAACGTGCTGGTTTACCCATGATTTTTTGTTTTTATCTGACTAGGAAGAGGAGGCAAGAGATTTAAGCTAACCGTTGATGACTGCTGCCTTCCCTCCACTTTGCCTCCTCACAATGCAGACTCTTCTTCCTCTTTATCCTAGCAGCTTGTGCTTCGAATTTCTTAGACTGGACATCTGCATTCTAGATGTGTCCTCAGGTTAACAAAATCCTACCAGAGTAAAAGAGTTTAGCTGTGCGTGGAGTTTGTTATAATGGAATTTTACTTGTATTGAGCTGACTGCGAGAAAATTGCTTAAAGGAGTGAAATATGGTGGCTGGGGATTAGGCAGATGGCGGTCTCTCCATCTCCCACTTGGAAAATGCATCGTTAATTTATCTTCCTTTTGTTTAAGCCTCAGGGTTACTTTTCTTTCTTAAATTTTTTATAGTATAAAGAATTCCAGACCGAGATGGAAATGAAACAGGAGCTAATTATGTCATGTTGGTTTAAAGACAAATCCAGATAATGTAGGAAGCATCTGAACAGGGATTGGTAGCCGCCCAACAGAAGTAAAAGGGACCTGGACCTAGAGCTCTGAGAATCCAGAGGGAACAACAGGGCTGAACACGGACATTCTGGCACTCGTGGGGCAGAGATGTCTTCAAGGCACCAGGAGCTCATGGAGGTTGCTGTGCTCATGTCTTTATTTTTAGGCCTGGAGATGGTTCCAAGGCTCACTGCACTGCAGGAAGTGGACAAATCAATAAATGTCAACATCTTGTTAAAGTAGGCTGGGACCTGTAAGAGCTGATCCAAGTTAAGAAAGAGAGATGAGAACTTGCTTGTGCTCTGGCAGAACATGGCGTGGAAATGATGCTCTGGGCAAGGCACTGTCTCTAGCAAAACGAGGAACCTGAGGGAACAGGGAGGAAAGGAGAGCTTTGATTTGAGGGGAAGTTAATGGTGATTGCTAAGGGACTGGCCTCATGGACACAGCAGCTCTGCTGTGGGCTGCCTCCTTCCCTTGGGGTTAATATGGAGCTTGCAGATGGAAGGGTTAGCTGTGCGTCCAAGGACCAACATACTCTTGTGGCGTTCCCAGAACACATAATAGGAAGAAGCTGTCTATTCTGCCTATTCTCTTCTCGCTGCTCCCCAAAAGGGGCCGGGACTGGGAGTAGAGGCAGGTCTGAAGTGTGAGGTACTTGAATATAATCCAGAGTTCTTAGATGAGATTGTATCTTACTCCATCTCTTCTCTCTCCATAAGAGGAAGCCACATTTTTTTGAAGACTCAAGGTCATGCAAAACTTACTTCTCCTTATTTGAATTCCAAATCCAGTGATCTTTTAAAAATACTAAAAATGTGTTATTTTTTGAGACTTATGTGACAGTACAAAAAGACAAGTGGGGGACCTACCTGAGTGGTGCGGCATCCCCACCATCTTGTTGTCTCTTTGGCCCGAGTCCTGGTGTATCCCCCTCAAGCCCATTGCCCCACACATCTTTCTCTCCTTTTGTGAGGGCTCTGTTCTGCTCAGGGAGCCTGCGGGTTTACAGTGTAATTTCTGATGTCCCACGTTCAGCTTTTTCTCCTCTATCTCGCTCTTCAGCTTCTTGTTTTCCTGCTGCAGATGCATCATCACATTGTGGAGGTGGCTGTGGGAAAAAAGGATTGGGCTGCGGGTTCTTGTCTGCTTTGCCTGCTTCATTCCTGCTGGACACACTCGCTCTCTCACTCACATTCACACACACTCATAGGCATCTGCTTCCTTTCCCTCTGATCCCCTCAGTTTGGATTACCAGCTTCCAGGACTGTGAGACAATACATTTCTGTTCTTATGACCCACTGGTACAGCAACCCTAGGAAATGAATGCAGGCCTCACACAAGTTCTGTGGACATGGAGGCCCACGTGTGTACAGTGCCAGAAGGCCAGGCCTGGGGCTGGGGTAGACCCGGAGCTAGTCTTCCTGAGCGTGGCACTTTGTGACCTTGTCACCTTGTGACCTCCTCAATTCTGATCATCTATCCTCCACTCCAACTCAGTTATCCCTCCTACGGTGAAGGCCTTGAACAGCTTTCCAACTGAGGTACCATGAACGGGCTTCGGGTGTGCTGAAAATCTCTCATGCCCGCAGGCACTGGGATAAGCTTTGGGGCAGCCTCGGGTTGGTCAACTTTGACATGAGTTACCCTGTCCCAGTCCTTCCCACTGTGTCATCCAAAAGTGGCCATTTTCTAAGAACTTCTGACCAGAGTTAGGATGTCCTTCCCAAGACTTTGTTACTATGCCTTTCCCCCAAAATGTCAATTTTAAAATTCCTGTCTTCTATCTTCAAACATCCGTCTCTCTGTGTATTTCGCTCCCAGCTGACTGTGCAGTGGGAGCAGGACCAGAGGGGAGAGTGGAGCATCAAGTAGGCAGCTTCTGGGTTCCTGAAAGGCCACGGAGGATTATCTGACTGTTCTGTGAGGAGATCAGTTCTCTGCTCCTTCCTTTGGGGATCTGTTAGAGCAGCTTAGTCCTCTCCTCACTCATGCAGCTTGTTTTCAGCGCCTGCTTCCTTTGTAGTATTCTTGGTTTCTGAGAATCACAACAGGTGAAAGTGGTAATGGACACAGAGTCTGTTCAACCCTCTATATTGCTGATGAGGGATCATGGCCATAGTAGGTAAATGACCTGCCCCGTCACACAGTTTGATGCTGATTCAGGACAAGGTGGTTTTCCAAAGTGATCAGGCCTAGCCTTGCTGAACCATAGATCCAGCAGCAAAGCCAGCCCTGAACTCTCCTCTTACTCCTCCCAAAAGCAGCCAGTAGCGTGGGATGACTTACTCCTTTTCACCAGTCAGTTTGGCAATGTATTTGACCTGTTCGCGGAGCTTGCTTCCTAGTTTCTCATTGGCGATCCTGGAAGAAAATCCAAGAGAGAAAAGAGCAACGGTTTTCCTGGGAGCAAAATCATAAGCAGGTCACACAGGGCCAATGGGTGGTCTCTGCCTCGGCTGCACCTAGACCCCTCTCTCCCCCCACTCCTAGGGCTGGCGCCTCAGCAGCGGGCGGCTCACAGGCCTCTGTACTTAACACAAAAGTTGGGAAGAGGAAGTGTGCCTCATAGCTAAGCATCCTTTCTCTCTTGAGGACTGGTCCATTTCAAGGTTAACAGGGATTTTCAAACCTGTCCGAGGAGTTGAACCCTTCTCCTTACTCTAAGTCCTCGGGGGGTGTGCTGAGGCTGTTTCCTCAGAGGGCAGGGTTTGTGTATGTGTCTGTTTCTCTCTTGTCTTTGGCATGTGCGTTTTCTCTAGTTCAGTCCAGGGTATGGGACTGACCTTCCTCCTTTGCCCACTTACTTCTGCTCCTTGGCCCACTGCTCCATGTTGACCATAATCTGATCACTGTCGTGGTGGAGCCTGCAGTTGTCTTTGGGCCTGGAGGGAAGGGCTTCCGAAGGCGCACAGCAGGGCTTCAGGGCGAGGAGAAAGAGCTGTCAGGAGGGTGCAGACCCACCCCCTCCTGACGCCCAGAAGAAAAGGCCACCGTGTCTGTACCCGAGGCCAGAGCTAGACTTGCCACACCAGGAGCCTCATGTCCAGCTCTGCAGGTTGTACCCCCCACACAGAGGTGGCACCCCTGGAGGGTGCTAGATTTGTACATTCATCAAAAAGGATTTTCAAAGCAGTCTGTTAATCCAAGTTTCTAACAGGGAAGGAAAAGAACTCAAGGGCTGCCTTTCGCACAAAGGCCTGGAGTCCACCCGTGATACCGAGGCTTCCTGCCTGGGACAGCTCTATGCAAGGATGTGCCCACAAGGTTCACGAGCAGACCGTCCTGGGTTGTACGGCTGATTAAGTCAGGACGACTCCGGAGAGGAGTGACCAGCGCTTTGTCTGGTTCTGGGTAGGTTCGGGTACCTTGCAGGGAGGTTTCTTTTCCGCACAGGGGTATTTGCTCGATGAGACATCTCTCTACCAACAAAGCACAGGAAGGTGGTGTGCTGAGAGCTGCTGTGTCCAGAGGGCCCAGACCCTGCTTTGCTGAATACAGTGGGGTGGAGGGGAGGGCTCCTTTCTCTGCTCCCAGACACCCCCGCCTTCCCCGCCATCCAGGGCGGTGTCAGGCATCAGGTGGTCGAGGTGCGGGAGGAAGGCAGAGGCTGAGAGCAGCGGAGGGGCACCCACACCTTCTCTTCCTCCAGGAGCTTCTTTTTGAGCGCGGCCATTTCCTCCTGGAATCCCATGAGCTGCTCCTCCTTGGCCGCCAGCATCTTGAGGTCATTTTTGTGTTGCTTCTGCCACTGCAACACCTGGTTGGTCATTTCTTCCAGTTTCTTGTCAAAGGCATGCACCTGCTCAGGGGGCATAAAAGTGAGGAGGGAGACCCCATCCTGCCACCGTGGACTCCAGAGGACCCCATGGCAAGACAGGTCCTTCCTGACTTGGGAGAATCTTCCCCAAAATCCAGACCCACTGGCATTGAGTCCATTCTGACCCACAGCAGCCCTGGAGGTCTAGAAACTCAGAGGTTTTCTAGAGCTGGGATCTATGGAAGCAGAATGACTGGTGGTTTAGAACTAATGACCTTCCAGTTGGCAGCCGGAACTATTACCAGGGCTGTTGAGGGAGAGACTTTAGGGGTTACTTTATTTCCAACGACCAGTAGAGGGCACCCCTGTCCTGTGTTCTTTGCCATCTTTCCCCAAGGCATACGGGGTGGGGGTGGGAGGCTATCAGCCCAAGTGAATGGCGTCATGGCAGGTGCAAAACGCAACCTCACGACTGGCTCGGAAAGGGCCTCACCTCCTGCTCACTCTGCTGGTGGAAGCCTTGGAGCTTCTTCAGCTCTAAGTTGAGCTTTCTCATCCTCTCCTCATAAGCTGTGATTTCATCTTCCAGCTGGTTTTTCCTCTCTTGGGCCTGCGTCAGGCTTCGGTGCAGATCCTTTGACTCCGAGGCTGCTTGATTGAGCTTCCAGTGAAGACACAGGGGTGGGGATGGCCGTTAGAGCCTGCTGACCTTCTCTCGACTCTTTAATAGAGAAGGTTCTAGTCCCTTCTGCATCCTCTGCCCAGTGTGGTACACACAGGCCTCTTTGCACAGTGTCTGGAACAGCGGGAAGTGACGTTGGCTGTCTCTGTGCCTCCTATCGTCCCCACCCCCCCCTCTGGTTAACTTTCCAGATGCAGATAATCTGGAGCAGATGGGCATGAATGTCCCTGGAAACCCAGGCTTTGGGAAAACTGTCCCATGAGCAGAAAGACTTACTGGATTTGGCCTCTCGTTTTCCTCTAACACCCCTCAGGCTCCTGAAGAGGGGGGCACATTTTCTGGGCAAATTCCCTAGTTTATGCAAGAGTTTGTGGATCTGCGACAGCTTTGGGGTCAGAACATTGGACAAACACCCTCCCTGCTCTCTGACATCACCCTAGCTTTTCTTTGAAGAGCAGCCTGTGAGTGAGAGGGTTGAGCCTCACCTTCTCCAGGGCCCGAGTCAGGTCTTCTTGGCAGTTGGTTGCCTTGCGGGATAATTCATCATAGGCCTCCTTACAGACCATGGTCTGCATACACTCCTTCTCTCTCTGCACGGCCTTGGCCAGCTGAGTGTGCAGGTTCTTTATGGAGTCCTTCTGCTGACATATCTTTAGAGAGGGAAACACCGCTGTCATGGTGCCAGCCTGGGACCATGAGTGCATCTCCATGTCTAATGTTCTAGACCCGGCTCTGTTTTCTCTGCACTGACCTGCGGGACAGTCAGGCAGAACCTCTGCCTCCTCTTCACCTGTTTGTGATCAACAGGAGAGCATCTCTGCACCCTTCCCCACCTTCCCACATCTAGTTAGCATACACCTATGACAAGGAGCCTTTCAGAAAGATGCAGAATCCAATTCTAGGTTTGGACATGTGATACATTTTCAATTGTGTGTTTTATGCTTCACTTAGTTCCTAACATGGTTCATTAGACCCCGTGGCATCATGAAAGCAGGGACTGTGTTCATTGTGTTTTCTGCTGTATCCCCTCCGCCTCCACCTCAGGTCATGGCCCCATAACAGGTTCTCAGTCAATGCTAACTTCCTTTTTTGAGATTAGATGAAACATTGAGTTGGGCAGCATTGGTGTTAGAGATGAGTTCAATTAGTGTTGAATGAAATACATATTTTTTGGAATTTAAATGAGTTGAAAAAACTTCAGTCTGTGTCTCTCACTTAGTAGTAAAGAATGAATAGTTAAGATGAGTTGAAATCAGAGGCCAGAGGATCTGGGATGGTATCCTAAGTCTGCAGTTTACGGAATTTCTCTGAGCCTCAGTTTCCTCATCTATAAACTGAGTGCTTCACAGAGTTCTTATAATGAAATCAGAGGCCAGAGGATCTGGGATGGTATCCTAGGTCTGCACTTTACAGAATTTCTCTGAGCCTCAGTTTCCTCATCTATCAACTGAGTGCTTCACAGAGTTCTTATAATGATCAAATGAGATGATGCATGTGAAAAGGACTTTGTAGTTTATGTTGTTGGTTTTGCTGGAGTTGAGTACGATTCTTAGTGACACTGTAAACAAAAGCTCTGAGCCCTGTCCTATCCTGTGCCGTGCTCATTGTCTGACACACCTGAGCCCACTCCTGCAGCCACCGTGTCGCTGCATCCATCTCGTTGAGGGTCTGCCTCTTTTTCATTGACCCTCCACCTTTCCAAGCATTGCCGTCTCTTTCCCAGGGATAGCTACCTCTAGCAACATGCCCAGACTATGTGAGTTCACACACAGATCATTAATATGCTGGGCATTTGCTATCTTGAGATCTACTTAAGTCCAGGGACAGGGATCTTCGGTCCTTCTGCACACCTGCATTCTCGCGTAACTTAGGAGTGTTGTCACTGATGCTGTAAGGTGGCATGTAGCCTACTACAACTCATAGTGACTCTGTGAACAACATATCAGAATCTTGCCCTGTCCTGCGCCATCCTCATGACCTCTGCCATCCCCGAGCCCAGTGTTACAGTCTTTGTCAGTCCATCTCCTTGAGAGTCGTCCTCTCTTTCACACTTTGCCTGCATGATGATCATTTTCCAAGGACCATTTTCCTCCTGATACTCAAAGTCTGTGAGACTAAGTTTCATCATCCTTGCCTCTAAGGAGCACCCTGATTGCACTTCCTCCAACGGAGATCTGTTTGTTCTTTTTGCAATTCATAGGATATTCAATGCTCTTCACCAACACCACAATTCAAATTCACGGATTCTTTTTCTTTCATTCGCATTCCTTGTCTAACTTTCAGATGCATAGGAAGCAGCTGACAATACCATGGCTTGGATTAGGTGCACCTTAGTCTTTGAACTGATATCCACACTCTAGCACTTTGAAGAGGTCCTTGACAGTGGATTTCCCAAATTCAACATGTCTTTTAATTTCTTGACTCTGCTACTTGGGGTACTGATTGTAGATCCAAGTAAAATGAAGTCATTGACAGCTTTAGTCTTCTCTTCAACTATCATGAAGTTACCTACTGGTCCAGTGGTGAGGATTTTAACTTTCTTGATGTTGAGATGTAATTCATACTGAAAGCTGTGGTCTTGTTCATTTTCTGGAAGCAAGGATGCATCATCTGCATTACAAAGATTGTTGACACTCTTTCTTCCAATTCTTGGAAGAAGTCACCACATTCTACAAAGAGTCCAGCTTCTTGAATGATTTGCTCTGCATACAAAAATATCTTTTAGTCTTTTATAATTAAACCTAAATTTTATTGTACCCCTGAGTTATTAAATCAACTCATCACTGACCCTCCAGTAGTTTTCAGAGGCAGAACAGGTTGAATAGGTATGGAGAAAGGATACAGCCCTGATGCTTTGTTCTCTTGTTCTTTTCGGACAAAAGCTTCTTGGTCTAGGTACAATGCTTCCCATGAGCACAATTAAGGGTTCTGGGATTCCTATTCTTCTCAATGTTAGCCATAGTTTGTTATGATCCACAAAGTGAAATATCTTTGCATTATCGATAAGATGTTAGTAAACAACTCTCTGGTAGTCTCTGCTTTTAGACGAGATTCATCTGATTATCAGCAGTGATATCATGCCACAGCCTCTTCTGAAGCCAGTTTGACTTTCTGGCAGCTCCCTCTTGGTGTACTGTTTTGTTGTTGTTGTTGTTATGTGCCGTCGAGTCGCCTGCGACTCATAGCGACCCTATGTACAACAGCCCTAAACTCCGCTCTGTCCTGTGC